TTTGTCATCACGTTATAGTGGTTCTTATTTTTGTTGCACGCATGCTTGCTCTGAAATTGTTCCTTTGTCCCATATGCGATAATGCTTATAATCTTAGGTCATCTTATTTGAGCCAGTATCTGCTGGAAATGAGCTCTATTGAAGTCTAATAAATAAGAAACAGAAATTGAAGGATATGCATTCCACAGTTTTTGTTACCTCTGTTTAACAACATATATGATGTGTTTTAGCATTCCATAAACAATTTGTCAAATTGAAACATGAGTGCACTCATTGTAACGGTATTAAAACTAGAACAGTCGTACAATTTTTGCTTAACAATTGTTTGCACATTAAGCTTTATCATTGATTGATTTTTTAAGATCTAGATACTCGAGATTGATTTAATATGCAAAAGATTGGGTGGTTTTGTTGCTTTGCATTGCAAAATGAGGCATTCGCCGATTCCCCCCCCCCCCCGCGCGGGGAACTTTTAAAGCTGGAGCTTCACACCATTGACCCAATCCACGCCTTGGCAGAATGACCTGGAATTGAATGTTGGGTTTGGAGGTCAGAGGAGAAACAGAGAGAAATGCTGGGTTTGAGAAGTAAAGCGGAGAAGAAATATGGGGAGTAGAAAACATGGGTGCACGAAAATGAAGAAGATAGAAGGTTTGGAGAAAATGGTGTTTTTGCCCTTTAAAGTTGATCATGTGGATAGCATGTGACTTACTTAACGGAAGAATAGATGGAAAATTCAAAAATCCAACAGCGGGGTGGAAATTGACTAATTATGAGAGTTGAGGGGGGAAATTGTCCAAAATTAAAGTTGAGGGGGGGGGGGAGGAAATTGGCCAATCCTTACAAGTTCGGGGGGCAAATTGACGAATACCTCTTGCAAAATAGAAGTAAGCAGGCTGAAAAACAGCAGCAGTTAGCTATAAGATAATTAAGGTTCTAAGAGTTCAACTTTTGTCTATGGTCATTATACCACCCTCTCCTTTTTTCGCTAGTTAATTTTTATCACCTCTTTGGTATCTTTTGATGTGCTTGATTTCTTCCATTTGTGAAGTATGTAATGTATATATATCTTTCTCTGTACAATTTTCAATTGTCTGGATTATATTTTGGCTTTATCTAATGTGGTGTTTTCTTCAGGTTCATCAGCTACTGATTGGGCCCAAGACGGAGATTTCAATAACTGGTTAGATCAGCATATGTTTGATACAGAAATTTCCCAGGAAGGAAAGAGGTGGTCTTCACAGCCCCAACCTTCTTCTGCTCTATTTTCAGAATCAAAACAGCAAAAGCCTTTGTACAGAACATCTTCATACCCAGACCAGCAGCCAGTCCAGCATCACTTCTCTAGTGAGCCAATTGTACTGCCCAAGTCAGCATTCACATCATTCCCTCCTCCTGGAAACAAGTTCCAGCAGGGTTCACCACATCAGCTGAATCTTTCTGCTGTTGCTGGTGGTTCCCAGTTGCCTTTTTCTGCACCAAACCTTTCTCCTTTATCTAACTCTAATCTTCATATGGCCGGTTTACCTCTTGGGTTGCATTATGGAGGGAACATGCCTCAGTTTGCCAACCCTGGCCTTCCTTTCAATAGCAGGTCACAAAATCATTGGGTTACCCATGCTGGAGTATTGCACAGCGATCATTCCAGCCTCATAAACAATATATTGCAGCAACAGCTCCCTCATCAAGATGGACTTATTTCCCCACAATTACTGGCAGCTCAGCAGCAGCTACAACAGCAGAGATTGCACCACTCGGTTCAGCCATCTTTGGCCCATTTTGCTGCAATGCAGTCTCAGTTTTATGGTACTCATCCTTCTTCATCTCATAAGTCAATGCATGGGTTGTCCGACGTAAGAGATCATAGACCGAAAAGAGGAAAACAACGTTTTTCTCAAGGCTCTGATGCTGGTAGTCAGAAAAGTGAGACTGGGTGGATCCAGTTCAGGTCTAAGCACATGACATCTGAAGAGATAGAGAGTATTCTTAAAATGCAGCATGCAGCAACACATAGCAATGACCCCTATATTGATGATTACTACCACCAGGCAAGTCTTTCCAAAAAAGCAGCTGGCTCGCGATCGAAACATCCTTTTTGCCCATCTCATCTTAGAGAGTCCCCCTCCCGAGGTCGTAATAGTACTGATCAGCATACTCATAGTTCTGTTGACGCTCTTGGGAGAATTCCTCTCGCTTCCATACGTAGGCCTCGCCCTCTCCTTGAAGTTGATCCTCCCCCTGGTTCTGGTGACGGCAAACAGGCCTCTGAGAAGCCTCTGGAGCAGGAACCCATGCTTGCTGCTAGAATTGCCATTGAGGATGGCCTTTGTCTCCTTCTTGATGTTGATGACATTGATCGACTGCTACAAGGTCAGCCCCAAGATGGTGGGGTTCAACTCAGGCGAAGGCGGCAAATACTGCTAGAAGGGTTGGCAGCATCGCTTCAGCTTGTCGACCCACTTGGTAAAGGCAGCCACTCAGCGGGTTTGGCTCCAAAGGATGACCTTGTGTTCCTACGTATAGTTTCTCTTCCTAAGGGGCGCAAGCTCCTTTCTAGGTTTATTCAGCTTCTCTTCCCTGGTAGCGAGCTTGCCCGTATTGTCTGTATGACAGTTTTCCGTCATTTAAGGTTTTTGTATGGTGGTCTACCCTCTGATCCTGCAGCTGCTGAGACAACTACTAATCTTGCAAAGACAGTTTCTACATGCATAAATGGTGTGGATCTTCGTGCATTAAGTGCTTGTCTTGTTGCAGTTGTTTGTTCATCAGAGCAGCCACCACTTCGACCCCTTGGAAGCCCTGCTGGAGATGGGGCCACTATTATTCTAAAATCTGTTCTTGAAAGGGCAACTGTACTCTTAAGCGACCCTCACGCTGCTGGAAGCTGTAGCATTTCTAACCGCACCCTTTGGCAGGCATCCTTTGATGAATTTTTTGGTCTGCTCACCAAGTATTGCCTGAGTAAGTATGAAACTATAGTACAATCAATATTTACACAGAGTCAGCAAAGTGCAGAAGTTATTGGTTCAGAGGCCACCAGGGCAATACATCGTGAAATGCCTGTGGAGCTTCTGCGTGCTAGTCTTCCTCACACAGATGAGCATCAGCGGAAGCTTTTGTCAGATTTTTCTCATCGATCAATGCCCATTTCTGGTCTTAATGCCCATGGTGGGAGCGGAGGTCAAATGAACTCTGAATCAGTGAGGGGATAATGGAGGACCTGCAAGTTTTCTGAAAAAAAAGCATAATCTGTCTTTGGCTGGCGATTCTTTGAGCGGAGGTCAGATTCTTTAACAAAGTGAATCTGCTTGGAACGTGGCAGGCTGGGGTGTGCCGGGGATAGTGCCTGCATGCGTGCATCCCCAACGAAGTAATTTTAAAGGCTTTGCTTTTATTTGTTGCTTAACTTTTTACTGTTCCGAAGGTCAAGAAAACATGCGATGCTCGGTTTGATGATGGATTGATAGTCATGCATAAGAAAAATGTGTAATGTGATGGGGTTCTGTTTGTATGGGACGAGGAGTTTGGAGTGTGGAAGTATGGTTCTTCTGGGGAGCTTTTATTTTGGTGGCTCTGTGTTGAACTGGAAGCATAGGGATAGAGATAATGTACAGGGTGTAGTCTTACAGAACCTTCAAAACTCCTTTTGTTCCATCTCTCTCTCATTTTCTCCCATATTTCAAATTCAGTTATGTTTCTGTCTCTGTGTTAGCAACTTATAATTTGACAATGTGTATGTAAACAGAAAATTAGAGCATTAGTTTCTAGAATATTTTTGATAAACCGAACTAGACTGAACCAGATTGAAATTGAACAGAATTATTTCTCTGTTAATTCGAACCATGTTATTTTGGTTCAGCTTCGGTTTGAGATTTAGGATACCGTCACCGCAATGGAGTTTAACAACCACATCCAGGATGGAATGGTGTGGTTCCTCCACACTTGGGATACCAGAATATCGAACCATGATGGAAGAAAGGTATGATAAAAAAACATATTGGCTAGTGATTGTGAGGCTCAAATTCTTGATTGGAGGGGACGCAATTGCCCTTCCATCCTTTAGATACGTAGAGAGGGTAGAGGGGGGTGGGGGCGAGTTTTTTGTTTGTCATGTTGTTAAAGAGTTAACAATACTTTTTAGGGAACTTTAACGAAAAGCACCTGGTACTGTTCACTTTAATGAAAAATCACATTTTTACACTAAAAAGTCAATCCTGTTACTATTCACTTTACCCTTTATTTTGTCTTCATCATTAAAACTCAAAGTTTTCAAGCCTTTTTCATTAGTTTTCCTTACTTTTTAGTGTTGTCAAAGAGTTGAACAATAAAAATAGATGGCTGATCGAATTGATCCAGTCATGTAGGAACAATGTTCAAGCTTACCGGTCCATTAGGATGCATCAACTGTATACATCACCGCACCTTCACTTGACACCTATCGTATCGCAATGAAGAACGGCTCGCCTCGCTGTGACTGAATTCTCAAAACTTCCCTCGCTCCACCCGTAGGGGCACAAAACCCATCGCTGCAGAGATCCATGAAACGGTCGAGTCAGGTACAGCAGTGGATTACTTGTCCAGATACGAGTATGGAAAAAAATGGTTAAAAAGTAGAGGCAAGCCGAAGATTTGAAGTGCATGGGGAATGTTGCAGAGGTCGCCCTCCCAACAGCTTCAGTCCAGGAAAGACCTATTGAGCCAAACGTGGGCATAATTAACCAAACCTAATATGAAAAAGACACTCACTACGTTATAGGTCAAACTTTATAAAAACCAACGTCGTTCACAACTTAACTTGCTTGGAACCAGCCGCCAAGGTGACAGTGTCGTAAACCATTGATACAATACCATATGGGGAAGCTAATTCCTTGGGCTTAATTCGAGCCCTAATTTTGCGGTTACTTGTTGGCTTACTTGGAAGTGGAGATTTGCATGGGAATCGTCGTGATCCTAATTGCGGTGAAGAGCCGCCGGATCTTGGGTGCGAAGACGGGGAGAGGTTCCTGGAAGTATTTTCTATTTTTCAATTTAAAAAATATTATTTCACGTTTAAATTAAATATTTTAAACAAATAAGAATTTGTAATCCTCGAGTAATATAACAATCAACTCGATAAAAAAAAAAAAAAAAGAACTATTTCAAGCATCAAGAACGTGAAAGTCTCTCAGTTGGTTAAAGGAGGTTGGTGCTCCATTGTTGCCGATCTCTTCCTCATCGTCCAAAATGCGGCGTAGTATCGGTTCTGCAAGGAAAAACGGACCTTAAGATTATCAAAAGCAGCAAAGATTTTAAAAGAACAACTCAGTTTTAAACAGGTTTCAAATCTAAAATTTCTGGCATTCGAGGAGTAACATATGCAGAGATCCAGTTTCGAGATTACAACATGAAAGCGGAATAAAGAATTTGAAGGAAGAACAAGAAAAGCCACATCACATGGTACTACTTACTTGCATCATTGACCTAGGATTTGTAGTGTAGGTTGTCTCAACGGTACTTTCTTTCTGTGGTTCATGAACAAGGCAATTTATACGGTTATGATCATCCAATGATGCTTAAGCAACACAATAGAACTGGACTGAACTTACCTCGAAATGAAATCCGTAGTGCAAAGCAACCCTCTTCACATCCTCCAAACTCAGTTCAATAGATATTTCCTAAAACAAAACAATAAAAACAATTTTAAAGAGAATATAGGGCTCCCTCAGAGAGCACGCGAGCAAACGAAACGCTTAATTGAAAGGAAGCTTACATCTTGCCCATAGACATCCGCAAAGTGATAAAGTAGGGGACCCAGATTTATCCAAACCTGTCATCGAATCAATAAGGATTAATAAAGTGATCAGACAGCGGAACACAAATTGAAGCCACCACGACTGATTGAGGAACTTACTCCGCCGTCTTTCAAGATTCTTGATATGATTTCAATGTATTCAATAATGTTGTGCGCGGTATCAATAAAGAAACAGGTCACAACCGCATCCCAGACACCTGTACGTTCCACAAATATCTCCATGAGAAATACTACAGAGGTTATTTATGCAATTTCCTGGAGTGCATCCCAGTCTCAATCTTTCAAAGGTAATTTCCTCAGCAGTAAAGCAAAGTTAACAAATTAAATTTGCTTCGTCTAAGTTTGCTTCGTCAATCTGTTTGACCAGGTTTTTCTTATTATACCTTGCCCCTAAATTGACTTTGGAAATTGATTTTGTCAATCTTTGTGACACGAGATTCATTTAGGTCGCCTCACAAAGATCTTATCAATATTTAAACACTATGAATGGGAAGCAAGAAAATTATTTTATCTCACCCAGATGTGTTTATACCAGACAAGGCAACTATCTGTTGAAGCCTATATTAGCCTACATTCAGAATTCTGTATGTCATTTTCCGTTTATTATTTCCCCACCAGCGGGTTGAAAGTCGTCCTGACTGTCTCAGCTTATCAACACAAGACCTTAACAATTTAAGACCACCAGTCACTATGCAGAAGCAACTTGCCACATTATACACCTTATAACAAATGGATTACCACAGGTTAAATGCAATGGAAAATTTCTTACACTATTTGCTACTACTAGGTGCTCAAAATATCAAGTATTCATTAGCAACAATCAAATGTTTGAATATAAGAAACCCATATTTTCTTACCTACTTGGCTTGGATCGTTGTAAACCTCAACAAAGTCGCCACCGCACATAGAAAAGCCTTCAGTAATCCCTGCACTGTTTGAAAGAAGACCTACAATTATTGGAAAACAAATCCTAATAGAAGATTTTATGAAAAGAAAATGGTTTTCATATATTAAAAAATAAGAAGAAAAGCATGTTATCTCTTTCTAGGACAGTGATAAAAAAATAAAAAAAGGATATTGAAGAGTATAGAGTATATTCAACTACAATCTATTTCAATGATTCATGGATAAACGCCTTAAAAGTATTTAGAGAACTGAAAGAATGTCAGAAACACTTTTGTAACAAATGAATTAGCAGCATCAGTACCTAGCTGGATGAATATCTGGCACTGGAACAGGACGAAGTTGGTCACTATCTGAAAGTGAATTGCAATTGCTGTGGATCCAAGGATATATTGTCCACTCCCCAGCAGTTTGGCAACTGATTAACCAAAAAAGAAAACATAGAATACAAAATGAAAATGATATATATCAGAAAAAGATCTATTGCCAACCATTGAAAACTCTCTTCCATGGTCAGAAAATGGATTCCTTTTTCATGATAGCAAGATGATTAAAGACTGTTTAAGGTGAGGCGTAATGACATGCTTACTGATTAAGAATAAAATTCGAACATATCATCATGTAGTATGAAAATTCATTTCCCTGACTTATAAAACCTGTATAAAATATGAGAAATAATAAACATGAGTATGAATATGTTATAAATCGAATTCTTAGCAAACAAACAACGTATGCACACCTAGACACGAGATTTCCAAAGCCAGCCGCCCAAGTCCAGCACCAGGAACCAAACAGGCAGGAGGACTGTTAAAAAAGAATTTTGATTATCGTACACAGTAAACTAGTAAAGTACTTGAAAAAAAAACACTTGCTCGATAAGAAACGGTAATTTGATAATTGCAATGGTTAAGAAACGATACAAGCATAACCAACATAATAAAATTACCTTTCCTTAGAGCGATTAGCAAAAAGTGCATCAAGTTCTTTTAATATAGGCTTGTAGCACTGATCACGTTCTTTCTGTCCCTGTATTTTATATAGTTACAAACTTAAGTAAAACTGAGAATCACAGATAAGATATCCTCGAGGACAGAAATCAATCATAAATCATGAGATACCTCTGCCGCCCAGTCTCTAACTATGTTCCGTACTACACAACGAACCTGTAGCAAGGGTAAAAGAAATTTTGATAAATAAAACCAAAATTTTTACTACTTGTATTTCTTATTGCTTAAAGGGAAGACAAGTAGTCTCATAGAACCAGATATCCAACACACGAGAAGCAACATACCTTATCAACATCAACTAATGGAACATGTAATTGTAATGATGGATCCAACCATGTCCGAGTTGGTGAGGATACCTGAACATGTATCACCAAGAAAGCCACAATTTTCAATAGAAAAATTTGGCCACTTTCTGAAAAATTAAATTACAAAAAGAGACACACACCTAGTCAAATAAGTTGTAAATTAAAGCTATAAAGACACAAAAAATCTTACATCTCCATTGGAATCAATGGCATCATTCCCACAACAGTTCTGTGTCTCTTTGTCATATTCCACGCCTAGAGCGTGTCTATCGGTCATGGACTCACGATGACCATTTTTGTCTACCTCCTGTGGTTATCTACAGAGGTCAAATTTCTAATGAAAAAAGACATATATGAAGAGAAATATACATTTAATTCTCATTAATGAAAATTGAAAAGCTAACATGGTCGTGTAAGTGTTGCAGAAACCTTATTGGTAGTCACTATCGGTGAACTGCTCACTGTATTGCTCCCTTCTCCACAACAGGCCTGATCTGAATTGGAGGTATGCAATCTTTCGCTAGCGCAGGTAGACTGAGAAGAGAAGACATTATTTACTCCAGAAACATCGTGATTCTTCAGGACGTTTTCAAGATGTGGTCCATCACAGACATCTATGTCCTGGCTCAAACCAAGTGGAGGTTCAAATGCCTGCAACGTAATATAAAAGTGGGGAGACAAAAAAAGTCAAGATACCTTAATACCAATTAGACCAGTTTGAGGAATCGCTCACATAATGTCAGTCCTTTGAGAAGTCATGGAGTGTCTCGATGTCAAAAGGTCATCGGAATATCATCAAACAAATTTCTAGAAAGAAAAATAGATAAGAAGGAAGTCGGAACTAACCTGAAGCATGTTAAAAATGAAATATGAATTTGCGGAGATGCACCTGCAGAATTAACAAGTCTGACCCATTACAAATCTCGAAACTCTTTTTTATCAATCATGTATTAAAAAAGATTGGGAGCAGCCTCTCCATAAATGGGGGTAAGGCTAGCCGACATTCACCTCTCCCAGACCCGGCGTAAAGCAGGAGCCTTGTGCACTGGGTACGACATTTTTTATGTATTCAAAAAGAAAGCCCTAGGATGTTTTACAGATTTTTTTTTTAAAACACGCTATTATCTTGGACGTCACAATACTCTAGAATATTAAGTAGATTGTCAGAAAATTCCGCCACATTAACCTTGAGATTAGATTTTGAGTTAATATGTTAAGTTTTACTAGGTTCACTGTTAACTCTAGATCATAGGTACTTTGCCTACACATTTTACAGTTTAAATTAAAACCAAAGATATGCCAGTAATGGGTGTAATATCCAAATTATAGAAACTTGAAATTAATGTAATGAGAAAATAGTCAAGAAAACTTTACCGTCTTAGTCTTTGAAACTTCAATGGGTAGTGGGATAAGAGAGCCTGCAGTATCAAGAGAGATCGTTAGAAACAAAAAAGATAGTGAAATACCAATTTGGTTACTATATCCAAGTTCCTAAACATATGAAGGCTCTTATAGTAGTATACCTTATGGGCAGGTGGAAGCAATCTAAAAGATCTTTCATACCGCCTCACGTCCTCTTCTGACGCCTCCGGGTAACTGCATTCAGAATGAGGGACATTATTCAAACTATAGGAACATATTTGATATCTCTGTGAAAATTAAACAAAGTAAGCTATCGCACCAACAGAATAATCAAAAGGTTCATAATTTCCAAAATTCGAGCCATAAAGTTTAAGAATTCATACACAATCTAACAGAGCAGAATGTAAAAAACAGATGTTCGAGCTGATTATATGACAATCACAGCAGCCTTTTTTCCAAAATTCAAATATTTCGACTGTTTACAAGAAAAATTAAATCTTTTGGTATTAAATGAACAAAATTAACGAAAGTATCAGGCTTTACAATCATAGATGCAAATTAATTAAATCCCAAATCATTGAATTCAAACTTGAGAGAGAGAGAGAGGGAGAAGGGTACTTGAGGTAGGCGCTGATGATGCGCCTGAGGGACTTGATTTCGAGAGCTTCTTCAAGCTTCCTCTGACGACGTCGCTTGTCGTCTTCGTCCTCAACTCCTCCTCCAGCTAATGGATGCATATCTCTGCTGTCGTCGGCTCTGACTGACAGAATACTGAGAGGAACACTCTGGTGTTTGTTCCAACAACTGATGCGAGTACTTCGACTCCTCGCGCTGTCAGTCAAACAGGATGAGTTACACGAGCATGATTGAATACATAAAAGGGCCGAGCCCAGCATGAAACACAATCTTAAGTTGACCAACCCATTAGTACCTGTTAATTGGGGGTCTGATAAAGAGTTGGATATTGGATGTTTGGGCTTTTCATATTTTAAGATTTGAGGGAATCTTAGGTTGATCAACTCATTAGTTCCTCATAATTTATGGGTCGAGCTCATCAATCTGCTTGCCACTTCGATTCTTAATTAGGTCACTTTTTACTTCATTGTGTTTAACCTTGTCTCATCTTACTCACATCTTATCGTCTTTGGTTGTCAATGTTTTCCTCATCTCGAAAATTATGCCAAACACAAATTAGAAAATCATTCAAAATCATGTCTTTATAGGTTATAGTGCCCAACACAATGTTGTCTTGATTCGATTTTTCTTGATTTCATTTGTGTGTAAAGAGTACAATATATAAGTGTACAATGTTTGTTCGTACAATGAAATACATACAATGGCTAGGTACAAGTACAACGGGTCGAAAAAGGAATACATACATACCTAAGTTCAATGGCTAGAAAACTATGAAAAATAAACATGATTAAAAGTGGTTAAAACGCAGTTCATCACTATGAGTTCTTATGAAAAAGATACATGAATTGATCTCTAATATTAATTAAACTGCCTAAAATAATAAAATAATATTTGATGAGATATAGTCATAGGTTGGTGGTGGAGTTGTATGGAGAAGCTGCTTGACTTCTTTGCTTTCTCTTTTGGAGAAAGCTTTGAAGAGACCTCTTCAGGGACACACCTGGAGGCCCATAAATTTGATAGTGCAATGCAAGCAATGCTGCGCTGGACCACATTGATCTGTCTCTTCCTTCCATTTCTCTAGCTGCCAACAAAATTATGGCCCTAGCCTACACCAGATAAACTTAACATATCAGAATGTCTGGTAACTCTTTGTCGTTATTGTTTTCGTTTGAAAAAAAAAGGTTCAAAGCTTATCTTAGATTGAAATCCTAATTGTCCTTCCAAAACATGGTCAAGATCGAAATCATTCTCTTCAGATGTACCAAAAACATGAAAAAAATTAAAAACAGTAATAATTGACTACTGATTAATAACACTTATGTTGGGTTCGCAGGGTTGGGCTCAAGCTACTTGTTGACCAACACTTCTGTTGCACATCCTCTTTTCTACCCAGAACTTTTTTAGTTTTGAAACCATTCTTTATGGCACAACTCTGATTGTTCTGTTCCTTTCATTTCTCAGTTTCCTCTTCTGTTTTTTTTGTTTGATACAATGTTGTCATATAGCATTAACTTTCATATATATACCGGAAAATCTACACTACCACGTTACATTGAATGTAACATGAAATAAACGAGTGAGATATAAAAAAAAGGATCATATTCATACACATTGGAGAGAACCTACAGTTTTTTTCCCTAAAAATGCAAACCTACTTCATACAATACACGAAGTACCTGAAGTTCCATCACGTCGCAAACAAAAACTTGTCCATTATAGAAAATTGTAATTTGTTCTTCGCTCCGAGTTGACTCACCCCTAACAAAGATAAGAGGGAAAGCAAAGAGATATCAGGGAAGTCTCTTTCCGGTTTCCAAAAGAGATATCAACAAGCAAACAGATAGAATTAACCATTTGTTTGGTCATTTCAATTTTTCGGCATGATATATCAAAAGCAATCTCTTATAAAACCAAAAGGAAAGGGCTATGTTTTCGAAATCGTCCATACACACGCACAAAATGATCATAACTTATCATTCATTAATGTAAGTGTGAATTTCATCGTCAATCTCATAGATCCACGGTTAGGAATCACTTATGTGCTTGTGAACGCGGAAAAATATCATAGCATTTCGGGCATGAAAACATTGATGAACTTACGTTGGAATTTTGTGAGAATCCGACTGTGGTTCAGAAGTGGCCATCGGAGAAAGTTGAGCGTACGAGCTGCACTCCGTTTCCGATAGCCGCCAGTAGGAGGAGAGACTACTATTCCATCCAAGAATTAAATCAAATCATAAAAATAAGGGAGGGGGTGAGGGGCGGCTAGAGAACTGTGTCGACGAAGGGATCAGAGTTTCATGGTTTGTTATAGGAGAGTGTTTGATAAAAAAACAAAAAGCATACAAAACGTGCCCCAAATATTGGCTAGGTATTTGGCCACGTGAGTAATTCTTTCACTCACTTTATATCTCTATCCTTCACTCTCTTTCTCCCTCAAATTTTCTCTACCTCTCTCTCACACTTTCTATATTATGACATTGCGTGTAGGTAGCGGCCTTTTGTCTTTTCAAATTGGATTCCAAAAATGGAAAGTACTGTATTGCAATTCATGAGTGGTGGAATTTGCAGGGTTTGTTTTGCTTTGTTGATGAAATTGACTCGTAATCCTATTTACTTGCACGTTAGGTGGAGACAAAAGCTCTAAATTGAGATATTTTGTTAATGGATAATCATCTCTTTTAATTGAATGTGGTCTAATCATATTATTACGAATTTGGCGTCTTACTTTTGAATGAAAATTTTATTTTTACATTTAACGCGGTTTAATCATATTTAACACGTCTTTGTTAGAACTTTAGAAACAAGTTTAATTATTGCAATCAACAAAAATATCTTTTGATATGTTTCTCTCAAATCCAAAAACACAAAGGGTTTGTTTGGATGGGGAATTTAGTGGTTCCAAGGGATTTTGTTTCGTGTTGAGTTAATAGGTTGTGCATGAAATTGTCAGGTTTAATTTCGTGGTTAGTACTTTAGTTAGAAACACTTTGAAGGACGTAGTGAGAACCATTTTTTGTACACAAGTATAATAGATTGATTATATGAGTGATTGCTAGTATCTAGACTCACTTAAAATGTCGAATTTTGTTACAACACTTATAAGTACTCACTACTATCATTATTTGAACATCAAATATGTTGTAATGACATTTACAGAACATATCTAATTGATGAATAGTGATAATACTAAATACTTGTGAATGTTGTAGGCCAGTCCTCAAATTCTCACATATAATAGGAAAATGGACATTGTTAAAGCAAGAGGAGAAATAAACAACATAGGCATGGATACTTGTTCCACAAACGTCCTTGTCATACAACATAGGCATATATTGCAGCCCACATGCATGCAATTATCATGTACTTTCACTCACATTACATATTGTCACTCATCTAGCTAGTCAAGTCCTCCTTGCTCAAAAGGAAAAGTTGTTTTCGTAATTAACTTAAGGCACGTGGAAATTGTCCCTCAAATGGCACGTGCTTAAATTTGTTTCCCTTTCATAACAAATGCATGAGAGCCGAAAGCCAATCATGTACAAATGGGAGTTGCAAGTCTTATGAGATGGTGCCGCTTTGCTTGGTTTTTTACTGGTTTTGTAAAGCAAATGAGATATGATGCCTTTATAACTATTGTTCTAAATATATTCGTTTAGCGCCGTTTAAGTTCCACTTAGTGCCGTCTGGGTCTTACCTAGACGTTAGGCTGCTAGCCATTGTCCCAATGAATTTCTAGGCATTTGAAGATTAAGAAAAGGGGCCTAGAACTACTTAGGCATCTGCCTTGGCGCCTGCCTAGACCCACATAAGCACCCGCTTTGCATTTTATATTTTGAATAAAATGTAAGAGACTTGTTGAATAGTTAAATGAACACTCATTATATGCTTGCTTGTTCCCCATGTGCTCAATATATAATTTTATTTTGATATTTATGTATCTCAGTATAATTATATATTTTTAAGTACAAATAGACACTTATTTATATGATATATAATAAATTTACTTAAGTCTGTCTAGTTCGCCAGGCCTTGCCTAGCTGCCTAGGCGCTAGATCCCAGCTTATTACCCGACTAACACCTAGCATCTTTTAGAACCTTGTGCATAACAACACCTAAAGGACCTTGTAGGGGACGATAGATATTTGTAATTTGTGTGTTTAGGTTGTGTGAAAATTGTAATATTTCCTCTATATGTTGTAAAACTTTGGAGTATATTTAAAGGAGGTGGTGCACTTTGGTATATTATGTCACACCATTTATGCACATGCCATGTGTTATTGCTATTACTAGATCTCAACTGTTACTAACTATTTTGTTCCTTGCTAAATTTGGATTATATCTAACTCCAATATCTTGGTGCCATCATGTTACCAGGAAATACTTGGGATTGTATGATTAGACCATAATTAGGTTTGAGTGTGACAAGATTAGGTCAAAGTTGAATATATATGACTAAGCCAAACTAGTTAATCAGTGGAAAGAATCTAACACGTTGAAGCGAAACTTGAAAGTACATACTATTATTATATATAGCTATCTTAAGGGGTGGGCAATGGGCGGGTCGGTCCGGGTTGGGCATAAATCCGTTGATCGACCCAATAAGCTCGGGTAGTGATTTTTAGAACCCATTTCCAGCCGCTCAAACATGTAACCCAATCCACCAAACCCATTGTTATGTAGGTTGGGTTGGGCGGGTTTTTTGGTTTGGGCTTCGTGCTATTTTTTTTAATAACAATTTTATTCTTCTTCTTAAACAAACATTAAAAAGATTCAACTGAGTAATCAGAACTCTTGAATCCAAATTTCCTCAACAAAAAATGAACTTGAAACTTGAAATCTCAAATACTTAAATATTATACTTAAAATCCACGTTCCAAACTTCAACCATAAAAGAAAATCAACTTAACAATTCCATAATAATAAAATTCAAAAGTTAAACATGAACTAACTTATCAAGCCCAAAATTATAATAAAATTCAAAACTTTAGATAATGGCAGTGTCCATGAGCTTTGAGCAGCAAATTTTGATGACCCTAAGCAACATGATGACATCTACTAATTTATTCCCAAAGTCAAGGTCCAAAGCATTCAAGAGGAGTTGCAAGCCTACAATGGATTAAAAACATTCATTAAATCAGTAAACCATTGCTGATAACACAAAAGTATTGGAATTTAAATAGAAGATTAGATTTGATTAGTTCATAGAAATTGCAAAGACCTTAACTCAACCATGTATTAATCAATGGTATCCATTTTAGATGTGAAAGCAACTGAAAGCTCTACAAAACATATACAAATGAAAATAAAACAAGTCAGAAAGTATTTACTTGAAAAATGAAAACCAAATACAAGTACAAATAGTTTATTATCTGATATGTTCTACTCATGGAGTTCCATTTCATCAATGGATGATGATTCAACTTCTGAAGAGATAGGAGATGACTTTAATCAATTTTGTGTGCAAATCAGTGCCTCTACCATCTTAGGAGTCAGGGAACTCCTACAATCATCAAGAATACGCCCTCCAGTGCTAAAGGTAGATTCATATATATGCCACTGTGGAAACTGGTATTGCAAACACATCCCTTGCAATCTTAGCTAAAATTGGATATTTTTCTCAGTGGACCTTCCACCATTTCAAGCAATTAAATTGCTTATCCATTGGATTCTCAAGAGGTTCCAATAAGAAACTATCCACCTCACTTCTTAACTCACCACTATTTCTCTGTTTTCTTATCTTCAAAAACTGAGACAACCTTGCATCTTCAATAGAACTACCATCAACAATTTGTGTTCGGAGCTTGGGGAGCTTGTTCATTAGACTTCAAATAAAAGTCATAAAGATGCAGTAACTCATCTTTAACATCATTGGTCAACTCAATCACTTCATCTGCACTATATACAAAACTGAAGCAAAATGAAACATAATCCAATTTAAATCTTGGATCAAGCACCATTGAAATAATTAGCAGCTTATTGACATTTCCCACATAACCCCAATATTTGTCATACTTGTGTTCCTTTAAGTTGTCATATAGCTAAAGTGATATTTATTTACGAAACTGTCCTACCAGCCACAGAACACATGCAAGAAGTTAGTATAGAGATGTACTGTTGAATCATCAATAGTCTAATATGAAATTCGAATTAAACTCGTTGGCGGACAACATTTTTGTTCTATTTTAAAGACCAAGCATCATCTTTAACACTTATTATTGCTCTCATTTTTGCTGCAGAAGATTCCCAAAAGGTGAATGGCAATGCCAAGGTTGGTGGGCTGGAAGAGGCAACCGTGAGTATCTCACATGTTTCTTAGCTGTATGTGAGTAATATTGATGTACGACTACTTTGCTCATTTGTTTCTCTGGCAGTGATGCAGGTGGCATCTTAGGATACGCCGTGTATTATGGATCAAGAATGGACTTGAGTCTCGTTTCCTTCGGTGTTGGACAAAATAGGCGTTCATTGTTTACCATGTTATTCTGTAGTAATTTCTTTCTTGGGACACTTTGGATGCGGTCCCTAGCTATCAATATTCTTTGATTGAAACCTTGTTAGTTTTTAGTTTTTGATTGAGGTCCCTAACATTAATGTAATCATGTAAGTTACTATATTTTTTAAATTAAAAATTAAAAATTGAAATTTGTAATTGTTTATATTAATGAGATTTTAAATAAAACCCATAATTTATGGGATTAAAAATAATAAAATATAAATTATACTCTCTATTATATTTTGTGTGTGTGTATATATACATATATGTATGGGTACATTAACCAAAATTAACAAAAAAAGTTATTGTACCAAAACATGGATACATTCTCAAATCAACGAAAAAGAATGTACCCATATAAGTTTAAACATGGATTAAAAAATTTAAATGGATTTTATATTAAAAAGGGTACATTTTACATATAACAAATTGATATATTTGAGAATGGGTACATTTAAGGAGTATTTATCAAATATAGCAAAAGATTAACCCTTAATTTAAAAATATCATTTTTTAAAAAATCTTTCAAATATATCCAAAATTCCACTTAAATAGACACAAATACCCTCAAATTTAATAATCAAATAAATTAAAAGCTTTTTAGCCAAAATGATTCGTGACATTGACATAACTTCTTAATCTGGTCCTTAACAATTAATGATAATCAATAGTAATGTTCTTGAATTTGTCTATCGTGAATCATTTTAGTCTTTATTTGAATTTATCCATCGTGATCATTTTAGGTTTTCATGAAAAATCTGTCAATTGCTCTATTAGTGTAATGATGTGGCGCCACATGGGTCTCACAAATACAATCATATAACGAC